TGGTTAATCTTTAGTGGACATGAACAGCTGGATTAGCAGTGTCTCCTCAGACACTCAGGAGAGAGACGGGGTTGTAATAGGGATACTGAGAATGAGAGTAATACACTTGTGGAGTCCCAAGGTTAGATCAGAAGAGCGTGGGGGTGCTGCACATCATGTTGGCAGAGCTGAGTGCTGAAAGCTTAAACCATGCTAGAGGTTAGCCAGAGCTAATTGTCCATGATTTTCATGAGCACCAACTTGTGTGGGTATACACCATACACATCCACAGAAACAGGATCCACCCTGGACTTGCAGGGTGGTGATGATGATGTGTGTCCTTATGTGTTTTGAGGATTATTGTGTTAGCGCTGCATTTCCCCCCCAGTTTCTGAGCATTAAACTCAGAAGGTGCCCCTACTTCCAAAAGGATATATTTTACCTGTAATAAAAACTTGTACATTTTTGCAGCTAGATTGCACACTAAACACAAGTGACAAAACAAAATAATGATGGTCTGTTAAATATGTGCAGTACTAAAGTATCCTTTCTTTTCCAGATAGGTGTTTTTAACACCAAGGGAATACTTTCATGAGAAGAATAACATCGATTAATTGCCTTTTTGAGGTTCTTGCGGATTTAGGCATATCACTGCACTCTAAACAGTTTGTTTGAGGATTTTTATTTGCCCAGGGTGGAGGGAAGAAGTTCAGTAAAGCCAAGACCTGGGATATAAATTCAAATTCCCCCTAATCAAATATGTATCCTTTGAGTCTCGCCTGACTACTCAGTGAAATGAAGAAGAAAACATAATGCTGTTTAAAATATGCAGTTATTAAACCTGAATGTCAGAATTCTTTGAGTTTCTAAGATTGGTTAGCTGGACTGCTCCAGTATTTCCTTAATGGTATGAACTGTGGAATTAGTATCAGACTACTTTCTACATGGTATATGCCATACAGGGCTGGTGCAAGGATATTTTGCGCCCTAGGCGAAACTTCCACCTTGCGCCCCCCCCTTCCCTCCCCGTGGAGCATCGCTTATTATAAACTTTCAAAAATGAATACAGTGGAGTCACATCTTATGTGGGGGTTAGGTTCTAAGGTCAGCGTGTAAGAGGAAAATCGCGTATAGTGAAAATTACCATAAAGTATAGTACACACAGTATACACTGCATACACTAGAACAGGGGTCCTCAACCTACGGCACGCGTGCCAAATGTGGCACGTGAGCCGACTTTTTTTTTAATGGCAGGCTGTGGGTCCCGGCCGCTGCTGAGCCCGCTGTCGGTCTGAGGTTCCGTTCACTCAGCTGGCAGCGGGCTGAGTGGGGCCGGCAGTGGGCTGAGCGGGCCAGCGGCCGGGACCCCGACTGGCAGGAACTGGAGGATGGAACCCTAGACCGGCAGCGGGCTCAGCAGCGGACGGGACCCGCAGCCTGCCAGTAAAAAAAAATCGGCTCGCGTCCCACCTTTGGCACGCGTGCCGCTGTTGAGGACCCCTGTTCTAGTGTATACTGTGTGTACTGTACTTTGGTAATTTTCACTATACGTGATTTTCCTCTTACACGCTGACTTAGTACCTAACCCCTGCATAAGATGTGACTCCACTGTAGTGTAAAAAAATTGTGGGGCACCGCTTTTTGGCGCCCCCAAATCTTGGCGCCCTAGGCGGCCACCTAGTTTGCCTAGTGGTTACACTGGCCCTGATGCCATAGGTTTTGTTATAAGTGCATTGATGCACTATAATACAAATTACTAGATCTAAAATGTGATCAACAAAATATTGCTCATTTTTCATTGAGTTAAGGTCCACAGATCAGAACTTTATGGAGGTGGAGCATGCCTCTTCTGCCAGTGACTGGCCGGTCTGGTTCTGCCACCAAGCTGTAAGCCAGCTGACATACCCATTGTATGGATTTATGGACCTTATTACTTTGAAGAAAGGAAATTTATAGCTAAACGCAGATATATTTTCCTATTACTTTCTCATAATGTGATTACTTTTGCTTCATGGGTGAAGGCTGCATGGTGAGCCTTTTGCTGCTACACATGCTCAGGACACTTAGCTGCAAAAAGTAACGGAAAGTAATTCATGTGACCTTTCTGCCTGAAAAGTCACAGTTGCTCTAATGAACTACTTAGAACAATCTGAGTCCATTCACCTGGTTATAGAATCCATTACTTTATCCACTTTGCATTTTCTTCCAGATTCTTTCTTTCCAGGATGGCTGCCATATAACCTCTTTTTCATTTAAATCAGAACATGAAATTATTTTCTCTCTGATGTGGGCTTTGTTTTTCTCTCTTTGGTATGTCTTTGCAATATAGACCTCCTCCAACTCAGCTCAGTGTGTTCTGGCACTCCATATCTCTTACCTCCCAAAGCAGTGTTCTGACAAGAGTGTGTACTACACGTAGTATTTTTAGCTTGAGTTGGGATTGATGGGCTGTTATGGTTTATATGGGTTTGGAACACATGGGATTATTTTAAGGTTTTGTGTTCCAACAAAGATGAAAAACATCATCATAGTGACTGTGTTTTGCATGTTTTCCAGCCAAACTCATAAATCCATCATTGGTAGGCATGGGGAGGGAGGCATAAAACTCAGCCAAGTTTCACCCCAAAGTCTCACCAACCTCAGCTAACCTTTCAGGGAGCATGGGCCTGAATTTCAGGTTTCGTTGCAAAAGGTTAGCACAAATGTAATCCTGGCTTTAAATTGTATCCAAAGCCTGACATTGGGAAGTCTGTAGCCATTAATTAGGCATATTTACTTTTTATGTCTCTGTTGAATTCATGGCCACTGGAGGCCTTATCTCTAGAGCTGGTCAAATAATGTGACCAGTAATATATGTTGCAAATTTAGACATGTTTAAATTCAGCAGATGCAAATAATTTGTATTTATTATTCAATAACTCTATAGTTCAGCAAATAATATTCTGTGAATAATATTGCTTGCAAAGTTGGCCATTTTCATGAACTAATTAATTGTAAATACTTTTACTTGTGATTCAGATCCTCCTCTCCACACCTTTTTTGTATAATGTAGAAACTTACTCCAATCATTGTGACTTCAAGTTCAAGCAGCCACTAAATTGTGATTGTTATTACCCTTATTGATACAATGCAGAAATTCATTTCCACCAAGAGATTGTGATGCCATAAATACAGGACTGGGTTTGTGGCAAGATCAAGCAGAAGATACTGGGCAATGGTTCTCTGCCAAGCACTAATAACCAAAATGGTACCAAAAGGAATATCGAGAGAGACTGGCCACATACCGGAAACTACTTTATGTATAAATATTCATAAATTGTATTTTACATTGTAAAGTTTGCTGTAGTGTGAAATTACCTCAGTCTCCAGACTTCCTTTGGTCCTCATAAAGACCAGATTATGGTCTACTGACCACACCATGGTAATGTGTACTGCACAGGTGCCTAGCTAGCTACTAAATCATTCTCTCATAATGCTTCTGCCAGCTGTTGAGAGCTTCTTCCCTCAGGATCCCGCCCATATTTAAAGGGGATTTAGTCTAGGTAAAACATTTTTAAAATTTCCTTGTATGCCAACATATTGGTGATATGCAGTGGCATGAGGGATGGGGACTGGAAGCTATAAATGTACTGTGTGTTCATTAAACGAAATACTACCAACTGAATAGGGTACCAGTCTGAGGATGTGGGAGGAGGGGAAGATTTATAATTTTCCTCTCACCCTACTTGATTTCCAGGACATGCACTGAAAGCGTTGCGGGCTCTGAGCTCCTCTTCTATCGACATACAGTGCACTCTATGTTTACAGGGCAGTAAAGAGATTCATTTAGCGTATGGCTGAGCTGGATTGCCATCGTTGGCTCTGTTGACCTTTATTGTAAGTTGCCTTGGGATATTTGTATGCTTAGGCAAGCCTATAAATAGCTATAGTATGATGGGAGTGTTATTGCAGAAAAGCGCTTTGCAAAAACAGATTGTCATTTCATTTCCAGGGCGGGAGGGAGAAAGGTATGTGTTAGGCTTGCGAAAAGAAAGGAATTCCCCTCAACACACTACCACCCCCACAGCACTGACCGCTGAAGAAAGAACTTGTAAGATTTTTTTGGTTGTCACCAATCAGGCCATGCTGTCTTGATGTTTGCAGCCCTATAGCTTTAAGAAGCCTAAGTCCTGGAGCAGCCTGGTATTATGATAGCATGTGCTTCCACTTGAGGGATCAAAGTTCAGGGCTGACCTTACTTGCTGCGCTGGCAGGGGCTGGGGAGTGTATGGCGGAAGAGCACTCAGCCCTGGGGGTCTGGGAGTGCCTTTGGCTGATGCTTTGAATAACATTTGTGGCCTTTGCAGGGAATGCTATCCCTCCTAAGAGAATTTCAGTCACATGGGCCCCAAAGAGATGGGAGTGAAGTGAACGGGGAAAGAAACTGGAGTATATCCCTGGCGGAGCTCACCAAAAAAGGGACAACATGTGAACCTTTCCTGCTCCCAAGGGTTACCTCAGTTTTCTGTGTTAGGTTTTCTGTTGTTTAAGTGGGAGTTTCTTTTTCAGATGGCAAGCTATCTGAGTAAAGCAAACAGGGTGTTTTCTTCCTTTTTGAAGGCCTTCTTTCACCCTTTCAATAAAAGCAACTCAAATCTTCATTTGCATTGCATATACAATGAGCCCAACAGCCCTGATGTAAAGAATAGGAACTCCATTTCAATGAGTGCAGGGCTAAATTTGGCCCAATGGATTTTGCCCTTTATGCTGGGTATAGAAGGGTAACTGATCTGTCTTAAACAGTACTTTTCAGTTATCAAACTTGCTTTATTTCTCTACTAAGCTGCTTTTGCATTCTTCTCACTCCCTTTCTGACTTTCCTTCGCCCACTTACGTGCTCCCCTGGCTCTTTACAGCATAATATAACCTCCTAGCACTGTTTCCACCAAACTGAAATTTACAGCTGTGCTGCCTCTGCTGATTTTCTAGACAAAAAAAAGAGTGCTGTTGTTTTGTGTTTGTTTTTTCTTCTCATCTTGCAGGAAAGCAATCTCCAGATCAGGCCTCCAGCATCTGGCTCCTGTGCACTCCCTCAACATCGCAATCTCCAATGGGCCAGGGAAGGAGCCAAGAACAACACTAGAATGGAGTGTAGGTGTTTATTTTTAATCATGGCAATTTATCTAAATAACATCTCCTGCCCATGTTCCCTCTAACCTTCATTTTTTACATGGATAGGTAAAGGTGCATGTAACAGGGTTGGATGTTAGCTCTGATCACGATGACCTTGATCCTGTAAGGTGCAGAGAACTCTGACATCTATCCAGCAAAGCACTTAAGCACATGAAAAGTCCCAGCAGAGTCAATGGGACTGGATATGTTTAAAGTTTAGCACCAGTACAGCAAAATTACATCCTTGAGTGCTCAGCATCTTGCAGGATCAAGCCCTAAGGTGACAAGTATAGGTGTATTAGAGAGATTTTATTTCCTTTTGAAGTTGTTTTGTGATTTAGGTCAAGACAATCTTTAAATAAAGACTGGATGTCTTTCTAAGTGATATGCTCTGCTTCAGCTACTGTTGTTTGGCTTGAAGCAGGTATCACTAGCTGAATTTTTTTTTATAGCCTGTGTAATACGGGAGGTCAGACTAGATGACTGCAATGGTCCCATCTAACCTTAAAATCTATGAATGTATAATAGAGTGCAGAGCAGAGTGTTAAAAAAGTTCAGTCCTCTCAGTTTCAGAGATCCTGTGTGGATCCCAAAGGGATTAGCCTTACAAAACCTAAATCCTGCTCCAGAGGAAACTTGGTCTCTGATTCAGCAAGATATTTAAACACGTCTGTCTTTAAGCACGAGAGTTTCCCATTGAAGTCAGTGGCACTGCTCATGTGCTTCAAGTTAGGCAAAAACTCAATTAAATACCTTGCTAAATCATAGCCTAATACAACTACTTGCCCTTTTCAAAAATGGCACTCTACAATGTATACCCTCCCAAGTGGTTTCTTATATAACCTATATAGAAGTGCACTGCCCATCTGCCATGGGGAACTCATACAGCCCAAGGGATATGATATGTACAGTAAATTCTTTGACAGAGTATTTGGATTAATTTGTATTAGGGTTGGAAAGGACATGTTGATATTTAATCTATTTCTGTATAACAGTGCAAGATAATATTAATAGATTCTTACAGCATCCCTGTTGGTTCTGTCTTGACTTTCCTTTAGAACTTCTAGTGTAGGTGTTTCATTGACCTTGTGTGGCAGGTTATTCCAGTGTCCTACTGACATCATGCCCAAAAAGTGCAGTCTAAATTTGTAGCATAAATGTTTCCTTCCTTAATGCCTCCACAATGATGGCTGAAAATAATTCCCTGATCACACCCTTCATTTTTTGTTATCTCCTTGCTAGTTATTTGTCAGTGTCACATATGGAAGGCAGGGTGGCCTGGTGGATAGAGCACTTGACTGGGTCTCAAGAAACTCGAATTCTATTCTTAGCTTTGCCAGTGGCCTATTGGGTGACTTTAGGCAATTTGCTTCTCCTCTGTGTGCCTCAATTTCCCCATTTGTACATAATAATGCTGACCTTTGAGATCTGCCGATGACCAGCGCTATATAAGAGCGAGGTATTGCTCCTGAGATTTTCTTTTCTTCCCCACAGATGTATAAATTCATAGCTTAATCTCACTTTCGTTAGTCACATTTTCTAAACTTTTAATAACTTGCTACCCTTTGGCTTCTCTCTAACTTAGTGATATCTTTTTGCAGCACTGCTGTAACCTGTATACCCCCTGAGGAGCTGCTTTTATAGCCATAGGGCAATATGGAGTAAGCCCTTCCCTAAAGATGTGTGGTGTGTATTCTTCCAGTAGGGCAGCGTTTCTCAAACTGGGGTCTGTGGCCCCTTGGGGGCCCACGAGGGTACTCAAGGGGGTCCGCCTGCCCCGCGGATCAACTCCTCCCCCTCTCTCCCTCCCTCAACAGCTGTTCAGCGGCATGCAGGAGATGTTGGGAGGGAGGGGGAGGAGCGGGGATGGGGCGCGCTCAGGGGAGGGGGCGGAATCATGTTGGGGCCACTGACCCCACTGGTCAACTCCTCATCCTCTCTCCCAGTGCCTCCTGCACACCATGGAACAGCTGTTTCCCGGCATGCAGGAGGCGCTGGGAGGGAGGGGGAGGAGCAGAGACGGGGCGTGTTCAGAGGAGGGGGTGAAAAGAGGTAGGGAAGAGGAGGGGCAGGGGTGGAGTGGGGACAGGAAGAGGTGGGGTGGGGCCTTGGGGGACGGGGTAGAGTGGGGGTGGGGCATGGGGCTGAGCGGGGGCTTGAGGGTCTGCAAAAAATTGAAATCAAAATGGGGGTCCTCGGGTTACTAAAGTTTGAGAACCACTGCTCTAGGTTGTATGTGACTCCTGCTTCCGATCAGCTGATGATACCAGCCTCCATTGTCCACTTATTAGATTTTCAAATGAGCACCTCTGTGCATTCTCCCATGCTGCCCCACACGCTTGGGAGGAGTTCTCTGTAAACATCCACAAAATGAATTCAGTATGCTCCTTCAACACCTTCCTTAAAGCTTCCCTCTTTTCTATGATGCCTACAAAAAAATTGACAACAGTTAGGCTGCTGATGTGCTGATATGACTGGCTATCCTGTTGGCCAACATTGTTTCTTTGTAGTCCCCTGTCTGTCTGTTTATCCATCTGTTGTCTCTTGTCTATACTTAGATTATAAATTCTTTGGGGGCAGTGACTGTATTTTTGTTCTATTTTGGGTCCTACTCCATGACTAGGGCTCCTAGGCATAGTGGTAATACAATAAATAATAATAATATTCAGTGTATGGATCTATGATGAATGTTCTTTGAAGGAACACTCGTTTGGCCTTTCATTGTATGATACACATCCTTTAAAGGGGCAGTTGGAAGGACTTATGGATGTATAGGGCCCACTTTTGTATCCTTTGAAGTAGCAAAATTCAGGATTGGACCCCGGTGTACATTCTGTGAATGGACAATTTACATAGACCTATGGAGTATGTTGAGTGTTCTTTAGAGGGAAACTATTATAACCCTATAGCCATGTTATACAGTCTTGTGGAAGTTAATAGGAATGAAACATGTAGGATTCTATAGAAATAGGTTTCTATTGACATTATTCTAAAAACCAATGTAATATAATAGAAGATGGTATCATTTCATAGGCTTCTGTTTTTAACTGCCCATACAGGATTGTTTGGTAAGACTATAAAATTTCAGTGAGAGTTTTAGATGTTTAAAAAAGTATAAAAAGGTTATTCTTCCTATTCAGTTATATAGAACTTTTTCATAAGGGTGCCCATATTGCCCATTGGATGTATGTACACCCAGACATGTGAATCTGTATGCTTTCATCATACTCTGCCTCTTTTTGGTATGTGGTTCTAGCCAGAGCTATTGGCCCCTTACCTTAAAGACCAATGGATTGAAGTATGTGTGTGTATTTGTATATATTGATATTCTACATTTAAAATGTATACATGAAATGTAGTGTATCAACTCTAATCCCACTTGTATTGACTTGTCACAACAACATTAATCCAGATGAATGCTTTTCTTTTTCATGTCTATGGTCTCCCTTGTAAATCATCATTTCATATACTCTGTTAATTTGTACACTGAATGATGTCTCTTCCTATTAACATTTCTGCAAAACTAAGTTGGGAACCAAGTATGCAGATAGGAAGAGACATACATCATCAGAGGCTCACTAATAGGGGGAGTCCTTGCATGTGGCTATGCCACTACCCCTTTTAAAAAGTGTAGTGTGGTTTAGCTAGCCGCTTCTTTAGCTCTCACCTCAGGAAGTAGTAGTGAATCCAGTTCCCATATAGTTAAAAATCACTGAAATTGTGTGTAGCCTGTATTTGAAGACATTTTTTAGGATGAGCAATTATTTTTTGCTGTTTGTCTTTCAGCATTTTAGACTTGATTCTGATCAACAAGGCAGATTTGGTTGCAAATCAGAAGGGGGTCACTATTTGGGTGAAAGTGATCATGAAATGATAGATTTGATGATTCTAAGGAAAAGAAGGAGTGAGAGCAGCAGAATAAGGACCAAGGACTTAAAAAAAAGCAGATGTTAATAAACTCAGAGATCTGGTAGGTAGGGTCCCATGGGAAGAAAATCTAAGGGATAAAGGAGTTCAGGAGAGCTAGCATTTCTCAAGGAGACAATATAAAAGCCTCAGCTGAGGAGGCTACTCTTCCCAATAGGAAGAATAGTAAGAGGCCAATGTGGCTCCATTAGGAGCTGTTTAATGACCTGAAAATCAAAAAGGTATCCTACAAAAAATGGACACATAGATGAATTGCTAAGGAGGAGCACAAAAGAATAACACAAGCACGAAGGGACAAAACCAGAAAGGCGAAGGCACAAAATGAGTCAAATCTAGCAAGGGACATAAAAGGCAATAAGAGGAGGTTCTGTAAATACATTAGGTGCAAGAGAAAGATGAAGGAAAGTGAAGGTCCTCTACTTAGCAGGGAAGGAGAGCCAATGACTGATGACATCAAGAAGGCTGAAGTGTTTAATGCCTATTTTGCTTCAGTCAAAATAGGGAAAGTACAGGTTAAAGAAATTTAGATAAGTTAGATGTATTCAAGTCAGCAGGGCCTGATGAAATTCATCCTAGGGTACTTAAGGAACTAGCTGAAGCAATCTTGGAATCATTAGCAATTATCTTCAAGAATTCGTGAAGGACGGGTGAGGTCCCAGAACACCGGAGAAGGGTAAACATAGTACCTATTTTTAAAAAGGGGAACAAAGAGGACCCAGGGAATTATATACCAGTTAGACTAACTTTGATACCTGGAAAGATACTGGAAGAAATGATTAAATAATCAATTTGTAAGCACAAAGAGGATAATATAGTTATAAGGAATAGCCGGCATGGAGTTGTCAAGAACAAATCATGCCAAACCAACCTAATTTCCTTCTTGGACAGTGTTACTGGCCTAGTGGCTTGGGGTGGGGGGAAGCAGTTGATGTGCTATACCTTGATTGTAGTAAGGCTTTTGACACCATCCCACATGACATTCTCATAAGCAAACTAGCGAAATGTGGTCTAGATGAAATTACTATAAAGTGGGTGCATAACTGGTTGAAAGA